CACTTACATAGTTTTACAGAAAACAAATCTTTCTGTGTTGGAGTACATGGAGGAAAATGATAAAGAGGATCTTTGATTGATGTCTGAATTCCAGTTATTCCAGTTCTTCCAGAGGGAAGAACACAAAAAGGGCATACCCTTTCTTTTCAAGGACACTTTCAGAAGTTATGCTGGCCACTGAAAGAAGTCTGGGAAATGTGGTCTAGTCCTGGGTGGTTCAAATACCTCAGGAAAAGTCGAGAGTCCCGTCTAGGAAGAGTAGAGATAGGAACTGAAGGATAATAGTCTCTTCTGAGTTACATTAAAATATATATGTATGAATACATATGAATGAATTTCTTTTGAAATAGAGCATTGCCTTTGGGAGACCTGCATCAAATTTTTGAAATCTCTTCCTAGAGTTGTAAGTCTAAGATGCACAGAATTGCTAGCTAAATGAAGATCAAGTAATTAGCTTTATTAACAGCTAGGTAAGCACAAAAAAGCTCCCTAGACACAAAGCTGTCTGTTAAGAAGCAGATTGGAAAGAATTCAGCTTGGACCTGAGGCTGAACTAGTATTTTGTACTTCTACAATAAATGTTAACCTTGGGACCCACCTCTCCCTGCCCAGAAGACTTGAAGTCCATTAATCCAGCCATTAGTATGGACTCTAGACCTCTTCTACACATCTAGTTGCCAGAGGAATATTGCAAGGAGTATGGGTTTCCTCTCTAAGGAGAGAAGAACTGCCTAGTCTCCTGATTATATATGTATATGTATGTGTATATGTATTATGCATATGTATGTGTATGTGTATGTGTATATATATACCTGAGAGTATGTGGTCAGGGTCAGTTCAGAGCATAAAGAGAGAACTTTCCATATATTTCTCCCAATAAATGTAGAATTCTGGGCTCTTGATTTAGTTTTGAAGAGAGTACATAGAGGTTGAAAACTAGATAGGAAAGCTTTGTTCAGGAACCAGAAGAGTAGAGTTGGGGATGTGAATCTCCATTTCTGTGAGCAGAAGTAAGAATATGGTTGGAAAATGAATGGGAAAAGTGAAAATTAAAGCCATGTTTGAAAGGAAAGCTCTGGTGATGAGGAGTTGTGTAATTAATCACCTCAAATATTCTTTATTTGGGTAAGGGAAGTATGGACTTATTTTAAGCACACATCTTATTCTTATGAAACCTCAGCACAAAGAAGAATGAGAAGTGAAAAGAAGCAAAATGACAGGTGTTTTCAAATATGCAGTTTGATGCGTATAGAGCTGCAAGAGAAGGAAAAGGGAGAGTCATATAAGGACATGGGGGAGAATGCTGGAAGGGAAAGTGGGTGTAAAAGGACTAGGAGGTTTGGGCATGAGGTGGGGACATGGCAGTGACTGTTCCTTCACAGAGACCTGTCACAGGGGTCCAATAGTCACATTACCCAGGCTGTTGGCACACTGGAAGGACAATGGAAGAAGGATTAACGAAAGGGCCATGTATAAGGTGTGGGCACAGTAAAAGGAACCATCATAGGGTGGTGAAGTACTCAGCAACTGGCTGTAGTGAGAGATTTGTTAGATCTCTTCCAAGGATGGAGTATGATCCTAGAGCCTGGCCCTAACTTTTGCTCTGACTGAGGGCTCAGGTTGGGAAATACCTTGCCAACTGGGGAAGAAGCTAGAGGAATGAATTCTACCTTCTTCCTTCTCATGTCCTGCTGGTGCCTCCCTTTGGCTGAACTCACCTGGAAGCCATTAGTAAAGGACGCTTTGTAGGAAACATAGCAGAGAAGGGTTGAGGGGGACAAATAGAGAAAAGCCTGCTTGACATTTCAGTGCAGCGCAGGGGAGTGGGTGTTATCAGATTTCCTGCCATATTTTAATTAATAAATTGCATCCCCATACTTACTGAGTACTTGCTCTGGCAGGTGCCCTGGATAACAAATCAATAGAGTCCTTGTTTCTGAGGGGATCAGGTTCCAGAAGACAATCAGGATTCTAAAAGCAGAGGATGGGGAATATGGGTGTGAGGACTAGTGAAAGGCAAGCTGATGGAGATCCAGGAAGCTGCCCAAGGAGGCGATTTGGAGGAATGCCATCGTGAGATAGAGAGGCGCAGTCTGATCCAGCCTGCACTGGGGAACAGCATGGACAAAGTCCAGATGCTGTCCAAGTATGGACAGAAGACACCAGTCAGAGAGAGAGAGAGAGAGAAGGGAGCACAGAATGCCATTCTGAGCCAGATGGAAGACATTGGATTTTTCTCCTTAAAGTTTCCAATAAGTGGGAGTCAACAGAGGATTAGACATGTAGTATTTCTTTAAAAGAATAGAACTGATAAAGGCTGCCTTCCCTTTGTTTGTATGTCATTTTTCTTTTCCCTTTCATCTCATTCTCTACTTCTCTCTTTCATTCACCATGTTCCTGATTGTTGTGGGTGTTGTTTGTGATAGAAGAAACCTGGAGGATTCAGGGGGTGTGATGTGGAGAGTTGAAAAAGAAACATTGCAAGTCTTTAATATGTTCTCACTTCAGTTGTCAGTAGGGGTTTCATTGGAGGACAGCGATAATATTGAGGAAGCTGGCATAGAAATTAAAATGCTTAATGAGCCAGGCCTTAGTGGTCTACTGCAGCAACATAAACATGGGATGTGACTTCTTGAGGACTTGGAAAGTTGTTTTGAAATATTAACACTGTACCATGATGTACATTATTTTAGAATGCAAAACAGCAAAAAAAATGTCCCATGAAAATACAAATGTGCGGTCTCACATTGCTCTTTCACACATTGATCTCCAAAGAGAAAACTCCAGGACTTTAGGGAGAAAGTCCATTACTGAATTAATCAAACAACTATCTTCTATCTGCACTTTTATTTTCTATACACTTTACACCTGTTTAATTAATCCTAAACATGATGCTGACTGCTAATTAAACAGCCCTGGAAGTGACTGACTGAAGGTAGTAATTTGAGATAATTAGTTTTGGTTTCAAAACACTCAATTTTCACACTTTGTGCTCATTTTTAGAAAGGGGTGCCTCATTATTATAGACAGAATGGGGGTTGGGGAAAACATTTTACTGCTGGACTCTTGAGTAGCTGAGGAAGTGGGAGGGTTATGTTTCCAGATATGACAGGAAAGTGTACAATGTTGTAGAATTTCTCCTCTTCCCCTAGTATGTGCACACAAACACATGCACACACACCCCACTCACATACAGAATTCACTCCAATGGCAAGCTCAGATGACTGACTCTTTTATTAGAACATAGAAATACTCAATGTCTTGATCTTTGGAAAGGTTTTTTTTTTTCCTAAGAGGGAGAAGATGTCACTGAGACACCATGGTCTTTTACATGGGTTCTTCTTGAAACAAAATGATAAAAAAGCAAGAAAGGTCAAGGTTTGGCATTTTGTCTACAATTGGAAGGAGTGTCTTTCTGAATAATCCTGAACTACAAAGGCATAAAGCAACCATTTGTCTACCCCAGAGCTAATACCTAGCAGAGAAAGGAAAGGGCAATAATAGGTAGGCCAGATGTTTTTCATGGTCACATGATGTTAATACGTAAGTTAACATGGTCCCTATCAAGAGAATAGACCAGGAAGAGTTTAGGGTTAAATAGTCTATGCTCAATTGTCATTGTTGTAGCTCATGTAGGTAGAGATAGGGGAACACAGGAGGCACGCATAGAGGCTGAACGGCTCCTAAGCACCCTGGAGAGCTCCGGACATGTTGTTCTGCACATCTGGGCATTTCATGCCATTACTTGTATCTGAGGGAGTCAGTCATGTCACTTGCTATCAATATGGGGTAGGTCTCTCTAGAATTAGAAGAGTTATCTAGAAGATGTCAAGTGTGAGGATTGTTTTGCTAGAGGGAATTTGACCAGGTTGTGTGGGAAGATGGAACTGTTAGCTGCAAGATCAGATGGGTTGTTTTATGTGAGAGTCAAGCTTGCATCTTCAGGCATACCACCTGAGCTAGGGCATCTTGGAGTCAATTTTACCTGTGAACCTTCACGTATAACTAGCATGGTATGAACAGTGATAAGATGCAGACAGAGCTGTATCATTTAATCTCCAAAATTGTTGAGAAATCATATAGGATTCCTTTTAAAAAAATATCTAATTAATTTTTCATGTTTATGTCAGAAAAATAGGCTCTTTTCCCAAAGAATTTATGATCTGGATTCTTAATCTATGTAATTTTTCAGAACTGGAAAGCTCTCTTTATTAGTAGTTACATGGTTGACTACAACCAATTCTTTTTGTATTATCCAATGATAATATTATTAATAATAATTAAACTTGCAAAACTATATAGAATAATTTAGCAAAAATGCAACCTTATGGCTTAATGGTGTCAAATCTCAGATTAAAAAAAAAAACCTCATGATGAATTTTGTTAGGCATTGTACAGCCTTTCTGCCTTAAAGCTAAAGACAATTTTAGGATGACTTTTTCTGATATATGCATGTACGTAGTAGGCCTTTGTTACTCATTTCTGAACCAGAATAATTACATGTAGAATAAACAGCAGCAACAACAAACACAAATGTTTTCCTTTGGCTCCTGAAACAAACAAACAAAAAAACTAAGGCAAAACTAAACTCCTTTTTCTTTTTGTCCATCATGGGGCTTGAACTCTGGGCCTGGGTGCTGTCCCTGACCTCTTCAGTTCAAGGTAAGTGCTCTACCACTTGAGACACAGCACCATTCCAGCTTTTTCTGATGGCTAGTTGGAGATAAATGTCTCATGGACTTTTCTCCCTGGGCTGGCTTTGAACTGTGATCTTCAGATCTCAGCATCCTGAGTAGCTAGGATTACAGGCATGAGCAATTGGTGCCTAGCTAAACTCTTTCTTATTGGTGGTTCCACAACCACCAAGAAATTACCTATTCCTGATATCTTCCATATAGCCCTTCTAATTATGTTATAGTGTTGGTGGTTTAATCTCTTGTCAATTCATCATTCTACAGGATTTGGCACAGGGGTAAAATGACCTGTCTTTTGTTTTGCAGATACCTCAAATTAGCTATGCATCCACAGCCCCAGAGCTAAGTGACAACACCAGGTATGACTTCTTCTCTCGGGTGGTCCCGCCTGATTCCTACCAAGCCCAAGCCATGGTGGACATTGTGACAGCCCTGGGATGGAATTATGTGTCAACACTGGCTTCTGAGGGCAACTATGGCGAGAGCGGTGTAGAGGCCTTCACCCAGATCTCGAGGGAGATTGGTGAGCATACATTTACCAGGTGGTTGTGTTTAGAAGTGACATTATAATGAAGTCTGAGCAACCCTAAGTATTATCTGAGATGTATGGAATAATTAGAGCTACTACGGATCCATGACTCGACTGGCTTATAGAGGGAGGCTGGGTATATTAGAAATGATTTTGTTGTTTAATAGGTTTATCAAGGTGACACTTGGGTACTAATTTAGGATGTAGGACACCTGACTCAGATGAACATTTGAGTTTGTTTTGACAAGGGAGTTTGCTGGCACATTAGAGCCACTGTAAATTTGAATAAGTGACATATCATTTGATGGCTCTAGATGGAAGTTTATATGAGCAAATTATTAATTTTTTTAAAAAGTCAGTGGAGTTTAACATCTAACGTTAGAGGGATTAAGACTAATAGTCACCTTAAAGCAATACCCGCCCCCCCACCCCCCCGCAACTATAGTCCCCAAGTCTATACTCAAATGATGGATGTTCTTAGTGACATATGTGACATTTCTTGCTTTTTTTAATTTTTTACCTAACTTTGAAACTTCAGTGGGATGAAGGACAAAAGGTAAAACTTGATTTGGACAAAGTGCTGTTGACTCTCTTCTTTCTTTCCTTTCTTCTTATCTTCTGTCATTTTCTTTGTGAGATGGGTCATTCTGTGTATCTCAGACTAGCCTGAAACTCATTGTCCTTCTGCATTAGCTTCCTGAGAGCAGGGATTGCAAAGGTGGAGCATCATGCCCCGCATACATCCTAGGCTTTCTTCACAATGCTTACTGAAATTCCTTTAGACATTTCATCAACGTGTGTGTTTACCCATGAGGTTGTAAATCCATCCCACTACTTGGAATAAATAGAATAAGACAAAATGACAGCCCAAAACAATTTAGAACACTAGCTTTATTGCTAATTAGCCCATAGTATATCTTTTTTTCAAAAAATTATTTTATTGCAAAGATGCTCTACAGAGGGGTTACAGTTATATGAGTTAGGTAATGATTACATTTCTTTTCTTTCTTTCTTTTTTTTTTTTTTTGGTCCGGTCGTGGGGCCTGAACTCTGGGCCTGGGCACTATCCCTTAGCTCTTCAGCTCAAGGCTAGCACTCTACCACTTGAACCACAGTGCCACTTCCGGCTTTTTTTCTGCTTATGTGGTGCTGAGGAATTGAACCCACGGCCTCATGCATGCAAGGCAAGCGCTCTACCACTGAGCCACCTTCCCAGCCCCATGATTATATTTCTTGTCAAACATTGTTACCCCTTCCTTTGTTTTTTTTTTCCTACTATCCCTTCCTTCCTCCACATCCCCCACTGATAGTGTATCTTTACAGATGAAAAAAAGATATGTTATTGTCACTTAAGTACTAGTACTCTTAATAAAAATGAAAATTTCTATATGGGGAATAGCATTTTATGGGAAGATTTACATGTCCATTGGCTATCTTTCAGTTATTTTCAACTTAGAGAAATTGTGTTGATCAATTTCTTATCTTTCTTGAAGGCTTTGATTCAGTAAAAGATGACAGGGATGATTTGGGTTTAACTACAATTACCAAAGGGCAAAGAATATAAAGTTATTAAGATCAAACTTTCATTTGAAAGACTTGTAGATGCCTGTTATACTTCTTCTGTACATGGCAGAATATGGATATTTATTATGCACAATAGTGTTTCTATTTAACATTTATTCTATGCCTGTACTGTAGCAGAAACTGTAGAAAAAAGCTAGTCTTGTTCGACAGATCAGGTTAATTGACGTAACTGGCCGCCTGCTCATACCGGCAGTTTCCATGATACCATAATCTTTGCTCTTTGGAATTTAAAATGATGTCACTATTACTATAAAAATGATTGAAAACCATCCATTGAACTTTAAATTATATTATCCTCTTGAATAAAAGCCCCAAGTTTGTCATTAAAGAAAATGCCCACTCAGATGAAAACAATAGCTTCTGGAAGCAGGGTTAATACATTATTTAAGCAGCTGATGTCAGTTCTTACTAGAGTGATAATTCACCATGAGATGGAATCAACAAGATATATACTGAAAAAAAACTTTTCTGCAGTGATCTTGGACATTCTTTAGGGGTAAGACACATTTCATGTGCATGAAACAAATTGCTATGGAAAGTTCAATACAGGATGTCATTTGCCAATTGTTGTGGAATCTGACATAGTGTTTGGTTCTGCAAGTTAAGTGAGAGTACAATTTTATTCTTTTGACTAAAATAAGAAACCCTTAGTTTTCATGTTTAGAGAGCATTGCTATATTTTGGTAATATTGTCACATAAAGCCATTCAGATGGTACCATTCATCACTCCTGCTTCTTTAAAAAACATTGTAGTCATTAATATGGGTGAAATAATTTTAGTGCCTTCTGTGTTGATTGGCTGTCCATTTTATTTCCGTTTTCACTTATCTGGGGAATGTAGGGGGAATGGCTTGTCAATTAATATGCAGAATACTGAAAAGGCCAAATTAGTACTACACTAGAGTATGCCATGGAATATATTAAATATCAAAATCATCCCTCATTTTAATGACAAAGATTTTTATCTAGAACAAAAATAGCTGAAAATTAAACCTTTTACATAACAATGTTATTAACAGGAATGGCAAATGGTAGTAACTTAACCGATTCTGAAATTATCTGATGACTCTAATGAAAATTCATTAGTTTTGTAACATTTGTGGCTCTTCCTACAACATTGATGACATCCCTGTCATCATGTGAGGGGTGTGTATTTAAAAATCTCAGTATCTTGACCGAGAAGGAGATAGGTTCACAGTTTATGCCTAATCAGAAAATTATGTATTTCTCACACTCTTAACACAGAAAAATTTCCACACTTTATTCTGAATTTATTCTCTCTTTAGTAACATTGGTTAAGAAGAAATTTCAGCTTAAATTGAGGCATCCTGCATCTTGTTTCTGATGAACTCAGGCAAATCATAATGTAATGATAGTGAAATGGAAACGCATTTAGTGATAAATTACTTGTACAGTTCCATTAGAGTGTTTTTAATTTGAACAAAGTCTGAGACTTGAGAAAGTGTCCTTTGTGAATCGGAGAGGATGAAATTCATGAGTGATGGCAGTCAGAGGCCTCAGCGATGGCTCTTCTCTAGGCAATATCCTTGTAAAGGAGAGATGAGAGATACCTGAGAAAATAAATACAAATAGGCCTTTGATGTCCTAGCTGTTAGAGTGCCAGCACAAAGCAACTCTTGACTATAGTATGCTTACTGAAAAAAGCCCCAAATCATTTTGGGATCAGCCAATAGCACACTTTGACTGGAACATAGTTCTTGGTGAGGTGTAGGAGACAAAATTGGAAGGCTCAATACTGACCCATAGTTGAGTATTTCAAGTAATAGGGTTTTTATTTTATCCTTAATATTTTTTAAACAAAAGAGGAATTGCTGATGAGTGAGGAAATCTGTCAGAATATGCACTTATGATGTACCAAGGGACCTCTGCATTATCAGTCTTTGCTTAATAATATTAATATGCAAGAGGAAATAGACTTGAGTGACATTTCTCAGGTAGAGTCTATGGGGCCTAGTAACTGACTAGTTATAGGGGTTGAGTATAAGAGAGAAATTAAAACTGACCATGTAATTCTGTACCTGGCTGACTCAAGTCCCATACACAGAACCAACTGTGGAAAGGTTGGTCTGGAGTGGAGAGCTTAAGCCTGATAATAAAAACACTGTGCTTCTCCATATATCTTTGTGGAGAAGGGCAGCAAGGAGCACTGATCTGAGCTAAGTAGGAACTGAGAGGTAGATCTAAAATTTGCAGACACAAAATTAGTAGTTGAAGAGAACTGTGGTTCCTGGAGAAGCAAAGGCAATTGAAGCAAAGGGGACTGAGGATGGACTTTTAGGGAGCAGCTTGAATATAAGGATTGGGGATAATGGCCTACACACAATAATAAGTAGCTACTAAAGATAGGATAGAATGTTTTTCTCTTTCTCTCTATCTATCTCTCTTGGTGGGTTTGTACTTATAAGAGGGCTATCTGTCAACTTTGAAGAGGGTGCTAGTATGGGAAGTGGTAGGATGGGATTTTGTTTTAGGAAAACATCAAGAACCTTGCACTGTTCTTCATATAAGAACAGAACCTTTTGCCAAAGCGCATAGCTAAATGTGTGCCATGTACTTCCAGAGAACTAAGTAATGTCATCAAGTTGGAAGTTTTAGTTTCCCAATCTGCCATAGCAAAGTACAATGTAGGTGACTTGAAACAAGATTCTTTGCCTCACAGTTCTGGTGGTTAGAAATTTTAAGTTTAGGTGTTCGCGGGACTGTGCTGGTTCTGGAATTGATAGGGGGAAACCTTCCTGGTCCTTGGGGCTGCTAGTGTTTGCCAGGAGACTTGGTATTCCTTGGCTTACAGATGCATCACAGTCTTTGCCTCTGCTATTACACAGATGTCTTCCATTCCTGCATCTTCTCTCTGTATTAGGATGCAGTCCTATTGGATTACTCCAGTAGGATCTTATTTTCTAACTCATGGTATCTATAATGACCCTATCTTCAAATGGTTGGATTTTGAGCTACAGAGGTTAGGATTTCAACATATCTTTGTGAGAGATAGTTCAACTCAATATGAGGAAATTCAAAGTCATCTGGGAGATGGAGGTCAGGTATTTAGAAGGGAAGGAGTCTGGAGGACAATGGGTTAGAATAAAGGTAGACTGAGGTGGGCACTAGGTAGACAGAAATTTGGTAAACAGGGAAACCAATTCAGAAGTTCCTATGGTGTTCAATTGAATTTTGTCCTTCCATCTTGTGTATGTGTGTGGTTAGGATGACATAATTGATAATTTGTGCTTCTACTGTAGAGTAGCAGGTGGGAATCTCAGTATTCAGCTTTCCTAGGCATCAAGATAGCCAAGAGCTTCCTAGTAGAATTGCCATTGTAGGGTACTGAAAATCCAGTGAGTGCTGGTTGTTTTGTTGCCTTGCTTTTTTTAAAAAATATTTTATTGTAA